AGAGAGAGAGAGAGAGAGAGAGAGAGAGAAGGCCTATACTAACAACGAAAATGTCAAAGACGCCCACCTGTCTAAAACAACCATTTTTCTCCACGACAACAGGTGACCGTCTGGGACAATTTTGACAATACTTATTCTGTTTATTAAATTTGTTTTTGGAAAAGATTTCATCAGTTTACTGTACTCTTCCTTGAATGATTTATATGTTGTTATGCAGTCTGTTTTTGATTGTTTGCTTGCTTGCTTGTTTGCTTATTTGTTTGTTTGTCTGTTTTATAACCTCATTACAATCGTCCTTGATTAAGATACAATTTTGTTTTTGTTACATCTTTGTTCATTCAAAGCGTGTCAATTATCATTCTGGCAAAGTTGTATATTATAAGGATAATTCCCTATGACATACAGTAAGAGTGGGAGGGGGTGGGGGGGGGTGCAAATGTAAGTAAACATTAATTATAATAACATCATTGTTGTAATACTTAATTAATCAAAGTTATTAGAAGCGTAAGTGAATACTGACAGCAAACAGTATGCGTTTTTAAAAAAGGATTAAGGCAGTGCTTGTTATTACAAAAAGTATGCAGTATTCAATTGTTTGGGTAATAGATCTATATACAATGAGTTATCAATATCATGTATCATGTAGGCATACGTACGGTTTTTTCTTTTTCCTAACACCTGTATAAGCCTACCTACTTTTCCATCACCACCCCCACCCCCCCACACACACACACGCCATCCTCCCTCCCCTCCTGTGTTCGGAAATTGGAAAGCCATAGCGCATCGACGTCTGGGTGTAGCGGTTAGGGGTTTCGCTGTCTTATGCAGAAGACCCGAGTTCGATTCCCGAGTCGAGTGGGGAGAATTTTTATCGCTCATCTCTTCTTCCATCTGCTAGGATGTTAAATCCCTCTTAGCCCGGGTTGGCCCTGACATGCAGGGTCGAAGCCCGCCTTCTAAATGATCTAAGTTGTGTCGATGGGGCCGTAAAAGATGCCTCCAATAGTAAATAAATAAATAAATAAATAAATAAATAATTGAATAAATCAAGGTTGTCGAGCCACTGTACGGAGGAGCAAGCGAGATGGATAACCTTTTTAAATATTACCAACCCCTCCACCCCAAGAACAACACAAAAACAAACAAACAAAACCAACATCAACAACGACAAAAAACAGCAACACAAAAAAAAAAATAACCACGAAAACGAAAACAACGAAACCACCAAACCCTTTACACACAAAAAACAAACAAAAACACCAATGTTCAACAAACATGTGGAAAGGGAGGGGGGTGGGGGCAACGCACAGTCGTATTGAGATTTCGTGATTTCGCAACAACAGACTTCAAGATGTCAGAGCATTACGTACACAGTGTCGTGGTTGCCATGGTTTTCAGACACTCTTGAAACCAAGGCGATGATGACAGAAGGTTTTTGACGTAGGCAACGTCATAGCCAAGTTCTTTCGAATTAATGTGGACTCCCAGAAACCAATATCCAATCTAAACGACTGGATGTAGGCCAAAGTTTGAGTTTTTAGAAATTGAGTCATCACAACAAACAAACAAAAAAAACCAAAAAAAACCTATACCCCCCAAAAAAAAGACAGATAGAAAAAGGGAGAACAGAATAATGTACATGTAGATGTTATGTTTGTGCTGAAAAGAATTCTGAATATGCATACTTCAATGTAATGCATTTGAATCCTATTGTGTCCTTCCTTGACTTGAACTTGATAACGTGATTAAAATTTGCCTGTTCAATTTTGATTTCTCTCTGTCCTCTCCCTCCACCCCCGCCCCCCTCTTTTACAGATCCCCCCTCCCCCTCCTATAAACATACACTGCTCTCTCTCTCTCTCTCTCTCTCTCTCTCTCTCTCTCTCTCTCTCTCTCTCTCTCTCTCTCTCTCTCTCTCTCTCTCTCTAAAAACTAAATAATTAATGATGATGATCTATATCTACTGTCTGTCTGTCTGTCTGTCTGTCTGTCTCTCTGTCTGTCTGTCTGTCTGTCTGTCTGTCTGTCTGTCTGTCTGTCTGTCTGTCTGTCTGTCTGTCTGTCTGTCTGTCTGTCTGTTTATCTACAATCTATCTATATGTCTATCTATATGTCCGATATATTAAAAGGAAGTTTGTCACAGGCGGAAGTTTGCACCTCTGTCATTGTTCAACAGTTCATGTAGTATGTAGGCCTACCTTTCAGAAAATTACGAAAGAGTAAATCGATCGATGAACTGGCAACTTTTTCTTGCGTAGTTATTCTTTAAAAAAAACAACAACCTACAATAAAAGAAATACAACAAGCACAAAATCTTTATGCTACAGCTGTAATCGATAACAAGCTAAAGCAAGAAAAAGAAGTCAAAACCCAACTTATGTAAGATAAATCACACGTTAATACTGTATCCAGATCTACTGTAATGATATCGATCCAATCATACCAGTGGGCGCTGGTTAATTGATATGAGCAAATTAAATGATATATAGAATGCCCTTTCAACAAACTTTATACACCTTGATTTCATTTTGTTAAAGTCCATTGATCGCTGCGTCATAAAATTGACAGTGGGCTCGGGATGGTTGAAGGAAAGGGGAGATCACATTGCGGATGGGATCGGGTCGGGTCGGGTCGGGTCGGGTCGATCGATCGGGCCGATCGCCCGACTCGATCGCCTGAAACTAAAAACAAACACTAGTTTTTGAGGCGATCGAGTCGGGCGATAGGGCCGATCAGCCGATCCCATCGGTAGTGGGCACCAGCAAACCGACCCGACCCGACCCGACCCGATCGCGCCACAATGGGTACAGTTCGAGGGTACCGCAACTAAATTTATTTTTGGATGCCTCGGC